TTTCAAATAGAGCAGGTCTAGTCAGTCAACTGTAGACTTTATCTGTCTATCCATCTCTTTCAATCCTTTTATAAACCCTGTGATGAGCGATAAATCCCTTCTATGGTCGGGGGTAGGTGGGGGAGGCAGACGCACACCTTTCCAACTCACCCATGTCCACCCCAATCCCTCCCAAAGCCACGCAGTGAGAAACACTAAGTCCCCGTTAAGGAGAACAAAACAAAAGACAGCAGAGAAAAGCTGCTGCGTAAACCCAACAGACACAAACCAATGAAGAGCAGACATGAAGTATAATACTGGAGACAGATAGATGAGGGTGTGTTTGGAATATCATTTATCTGGCCAGGGTGTCTGCAAGTTTCAAAAAGAAACTAAAAGAATTTAGGACTGTTTGAGATCTGTAATGCTGGCTGGAAGTTAATTAGAAAACGAAGAAGTTTTAAAAACTAGAGCTGTCAAAGCCAGTCTACTTGTCTGATCATAGCTGTTGAAGTTATTAAACTACTTGGGCAAAAAATGGCACTGAGAATTTACTTAAAGCAACAATATGTAACGTTTCAATAAAGTAAATCCGTCTTCAAATGAAAGTTGATCTAATAAGTAATAAAAATGCACGGAACAGTGAGACGTTTTGCCAAAACTGTTTTACTTGCCGCGGTACGACCGGTAGCATACGGTGGCTAATGCTATTGTTGGATAGCCATTTCACTGGCCTGAATGTATTGAGATACAGATGATAAAGCAGATTTCTGACATTTGGCTGTATAAATAAAATTTACTTCACATTATTAATAACATGTACTTGTAAGTGTTCAGCAAAAAGTTATACCGGCTCGCTTTAAGGGACATTAAGTCTGTGTTAAGCAAATATTGCATACTTATTACTAATAAAGCTGAGACTATTAATCTTAAATTCAAACAGCTTTTTCAAGTGGGGAAGAAATTAAATATTTAAGATCCCCTCCAGACATGTATTCAGACATATGTACAAATAGTCTGCTTGGAATGTGTGTCTGATGTGTTTTTTCTGGAAAAAAAACAAAGTATAAAAATGTCGTTAAAATCCCTAAAAAAAGCATCTACTCATTGTACCTCATTAAAAATTCAAGAATCTCTGAATTCTAATTGTGTTCATTTCTAAAGTGTGGACACAGACTGTTGTCCACTCTCTGTGTAAGTGCACTGAAAATGGACTCTAGCTGTTGTTAATATAGTACAGGGATAATAGAAGTTAGGGATGTCACACAAAGGTAGAAGTTTAAATTGACTTTTTTTCTAATTAATTTGTACACAACAAACTTAAGTTTAACTAACTAAAGCTATTAGAGGTGTTAAGGCAGTTACTTTACAAAGTCTGCAAACAAACTTATTTTTATCCATAATTGTGCCATATGTGGAACCCAAAATAATAGGTACAATAAATACTTTCCTTCTTATATACGGTTTCATTATTGTCCATTCTGCATGGCTCGCAAAAGCAAAAAAGTAAATGTAAACTTCTGCCTTTTACATCCTGAACTTCTATTGTCACTGCAGTATTAAAAACATCTGCTACTACAAAACATAACTGACAGCGGGGAGAGGCTGGTGAAGAAACCAAATGGACACTAACAACAAACATCATTGGTGTCTGAGAGATGTTGGTTTTGTGTGAGTTTTTAATACAATTCATTGATTATCTAACTCCACCCTATGGCTGCTTGCAATAACAGCTCACAGTGAATGAGCTATGATTGAAATAATACACTAATGCTGGTAAACCCAATAAAAACATTGGGTCAGGGAGATGACTCTGCTCCATTTTGGGCGAAATAAACTTGCTTCAATAGCTAGTGAGGGGCATTCATGTTCAGATGGAAACTCATTGTTGCTTCAGTCACTTCCCGTACTGGGATTGGAAACTGGCATTCATCCACTGGCATGCAGCACAATACAACTGCATTACTCCATCTGATGGGAGTTCACTGTTGTGTTTGACTACTGATGCAGATGTCCTGGTGGCCCAGTTTCCAAATCGCTGTTACCAACTAGCTGTTCTACATCCCCTTTCTCACATGGGATGGGATGGGACTTATTACAAGCTCTAAGCTATAAAAACACTACTTGGTTTATGACCTCTCTTTGCACTACAGACTATGCTGCAATGGTGTAAAAATACTTCAGGAATGGTCAATGTTTTTACACATTATCTAGTGTGATAAGACAATGATACTGTAAGATCATAATGGGTTTCTCCTCTTGACTGTTTCACTGTTGTGATCTCAGTTGGCTTCATTTTCACAACAGTCAGGGGTATAAAGATTCATATTACAAGCTGGCTGAATAAAGTCTTACTTTGTTGAATTCAGTTCACTAACAGTAGGCACAGTGGTGTCTCTCAGTCTTTGTCATAATGTGCTGATAAGCCATACTTTATACCAAACAGTAGTAATGTAATGCAGTACACTGAAAAACATTCAGTAATTCTCTTTGCAAAATACACTGGAAAGGTTAATTAAATGTTATGGTGACCTAGAACTAGAGGACTTTTTAGAGATTATAAGCTTAGACCAATGTATCAAAGCTGATATTGAACTTTCATTATAAATCAAGAGATCAGCCAGCATCATCCACCTCTGATAGGACTGATATGATGCAGTTTGTTTAGCTAATAGGAGTCCATGCCCATAGTTTTTAATTACTGTAATTTGCTAAGCCCATGTTTCATCCTGCATTATCATGCAGATTTTAAATCAGGCCAGTCACAATTCTAGGTTATCACATACTACATTTTGGAAGTTTAAGAGGACATTTGGGTACTTTTTAAGCTAACAGGGACAAGAAAAGCTTGGAGAGATTAAAATGTTCTGAGTTTTTTAAAGACTTAGACAATGCCATGACAACTGGGCAAAAACTAGACTAACTAAATCTGCTGAGGAAGATTATAAATGGACACCATGGTCAGATATTTCTGTCAACATCAGTCTAATCTAATTTCCAAGATAAAACAAGTTTTAAAAATGACCAAACACTGGCTAGGAGCTTAAGTGGAATCAAACTGCAGGCGCAAGATGGATGACCAAGTGTTTGTAAAGAAACCTACAGCATAAAAATGGGGCATCTAGGCTAGTATCTGGAGACACAGACACAAGTTGACATTTCTCATATATCTCTGTCACAGCTGGAATACTCATGAACACTGTTTAAAGAGCATTTCAACAACCTAAGTGGGAATGTCCATCAAGATAATATATCACATATCTTCTCCACATCATGCAGGCCTGCTGTTCTGCCAAGACACAAAAAGCAAAGGCTCAAGGGGTCCAAGGAACAAATATGGATCCAAAGCCTCGACCTAGAAAAAACTAGGTCATTACAGACTGATGCCACGTTGAATTGTGAGGGTTTGCATTGAAGGACATATTCCAGTCCTCTTGTCTATCTTGTTTGTCCTTTTAGGGTTGTCCAGTTTTCTTATTTTTTAACCTCGTACACCCGTAGCCCTTTCTTGGCCAGCTGTGAAATGACAAATTGTAGCCGGCTGGTTTTATACCCTCCAGTCCATTCTGCAGTGCCAACAACAGTGATTTTAATTCTATGGTGCCAAGCAG